GTGTTTGAGAAAAGAAGAGATAAATAAAGGCAACTTCTATCATTTTCAAGCTGTGACAAAAGTCCTGATTGTTAATCTATGACAATGGAATGTACTATGCTGCTTGTTCTAAGAATACTAGTGGTTCATAAGCCAGGCATTGTGACACATGCCTTTAATCCTTGCAATTGGGAGGCAGAAGCAGGAAGATCACTGTAGTTTGAGGCCAACCTGGTATCCAGAGTGAATTCCAAGACAGCCAGGGCTACTCAGAGAATACTTGTCTCAAAACAAACAAAAATAAATAAATAAAACCAAAAGATTAAAAAAGAGAAAGGAATTAGTGATTTGCATATAGTTTTAGTCAAATCCAAGCTACTTCCTAGTTAACCAACAAATCCAGTAACTCTAGGAAAACAACTTTCTGGATTCCTCACCTGTACTGGGGTTGGTTTCTCAATGATGGAGCTGTTTCTGACTGATCTTTATGCTCCAAGTAACCTCAATAAAATCTCATTCATTCATGTTGCTACAGTGATATTTTGTTTATGCTCTAACAAATAAATCTTGCCTGAACATTAGAGGACAGAGCTATCCATAGAGGCCAGGCAGTGGTGGCACACACCTTTTATCCCAACACTTGGGATCTCATGCCTTTGATCCCAGGATTTGGCAGCCTTATGTCATTAATACCAGCACTAGAGAGGCAGAGACAGTAATGATAGGTGTTGAAGGGATTTCTCACTCATTCATTCTAAGGACTCTTGCAGGTAAGAACTCTAGTGGATGGCTGCTCTGCTTCTCTGATCTTTCACCTTTCACCTTCTAATAATTGACTCCAGGTTTTTTTTTATTATTTTGAATAATTAGAATTCCAGCTACAGGTTGGACTTTGGTACAATCTTTCTTTTGATCTGTCAGAAGTCTCCTTTTTGAGATGATCAGACATATGTTGCTCTTCCACTGCAAAAGTGTATAATAAAACACTCTGTTTCCATATCGATTTGAGAGCTTTTTTCTACTTCTATGAAGAATTCATTTGGATATAAAAGCAAATGCTTTGGACTTTTGAATCAATTTATAAAGTATATATACTTTTTAAACAATTGACTCAGGCCATAAGCATAGATGCCAATGTACTTCAAAGGTTCTCTTCACTTTTCAAGTTCCTGTAAGAATGATGAGATAAGAGAAAGGCTCCACACCTGTCTATTTATCTGGTTTCCAAGAAAGAATCAAACACAATCATCAGGTGTTTTCTCCTTCTGGCTTAGAATAATCTCTCTGTTCTGTTTTATGTTTATCTTTCTAAAGATATGAGCAATTTCTATGCAATGTTTACAATATTATGCAAAATTGATATCTATTTTTACTCTTCTCCATTAGTTGAAACTACACTTATGTTTTCGTCTTGTACAGTTCAGTCTCTCAATTTGAAGACTCAAAAATTATCAGAGAAGTAAAAACATACAAAGAAAGAAAACAGAAAATACATTAGACACTGACGTTGACTAGGATTCGTGCATAATTTTAACTATTTTGTTTGTGTTTATTTAGATATCTCATATGTCTGAGAAACTAAAGCCAAACAATCATATGAGGTTTTTTCAAATAAAATAATTGCACAGAAAAAGAAATAATCAAATATTCTTAGTTCATTGACAGGATGAGAGAAGTAGTTGCAAATGACATTATCTTAAGCTAACAACAACAGCACATAATGAATTTCACACAAATCAAGAGCAAAATAATCCAGAGATCACTCAGCTTTAAAATAGACAAGAAAATAAAAAGGTATGTTCTTAGGAAGACTTAAAGATTACCACATATAGAAAGGTAAGTCCCTATGACAATGAGAACAGTGCCAGGCAAAGCAACATTTAGGCATATTTTAGTGAGACTATTCATCATGCCAAACTCAATTGTGGCTAAATATTGGAGGACAGAATTGTTTAAACCCACCACTGTTTGTTGTATTTGGTAACAATATTGCCTTCATGGAAAAGTGTGTGGAACTTCCTCAGAATACAAAACAAAGCTACCTTGTTCTGGAATAATGTCAATAAAATCGTGTCAAAACTCAATTGCTATTACATTATACAACAATATTATCCAGAACAAGGAAACAAGTTCCATGCCCATTAACTGGGGAATATATTAAAAAATGAACTAAAATCATAAAATTATATTTATGTGGATTGTAAAAGTGTTGATAACAGAGACCTGGTTAGTTGCAGATTTAGTCAGCTCACCAGCCCTCCCTTGTAAGGAAAAGGGTGATCTCTCCTTCAATGTAATGTTTAGTTTAAAGCCTTGCAGCCATGAGCTAATGATGCAGTTGGTTCTCCTGCTTTCATGTCCTCAGAGTTACCACTCCTATGCTTTCAAGGTCATTTCTTCTGTAGGGAACACTATCCTGTATGCTGCCGCTGAAGAGGGGTGGAACAAGTTCTCCTACCTGCCTCAGATATGGATAGGCAGGGGGGAATCTCACCCCTTCTCATGCTAGCACATACAGATGGGGAATGCAACAATTCTCCCATGCTCTCACCACTTGTGGGCTGGCTGACCCAATAATAATAATACAACCCAATAAGATTGGTTGTATTGTGATGCCCTTGAGAGTTGCAGGGCCTCTCCCAGGTGTTGTAGCTGGTGGCAGGCGGGGGCAACTTTTGCCAACCTCAAGACTAGCTCTCCCACCTTCCCCAAGCCTCGATGGACAGTGAGGGGGAGAATATGTCCCCCACATCATGTATTCTTATTGAGAAAATCAATTTCATGAATGTCGGAGCTCATGCAAAAGGAACAACAAGCAGCTTTGGAATTCAAAGAAACTGCACACCAACCTTAGAAAAAAATCAGATGCAGGTTATTAGTAAAATTAGGATGTTTTTTGTTAATGTCTTTAATCTGGGAAATCTTGGAAAACAATTTAAAGTTTAGAAAAGCACCCTTTTGATACTTGAGTAAGGGACTCAGTGAGGTCAAGAAATGAGAAATAATATAGCCTGGTTATTACTAGCTGAAGTTCCTTTTTTTTGCCAAATATGGGTTTTTAACCAAAGGCAATGATTAAATTATTGTACTAGATTTTTCTCTGTGCTTCCTAATATGATATAATAAAAAAATATGTTGAGTGGGTATGCATTCTGGGAACATAAAGTAGAAGTGACTATTTTCATATACAATGTTTAGATTTGTGATTCTGTTAAGATTTCTTTATAGGCTTACCTTTTGAGGTAAATAATAAAAAGATGAATCCTTTGTTTTTAAAGATAAACAGCTGTCTTCTAGGACAAAGCAAACTGGTATAAATGTACTGGGTTTATTTAAAACTTTTTAGTCAATTATAAATGAACCATAGCTTTAGTGTAAAGATGATATGATTGGAAATTTTAATTCCTTGTGTGTCTCTAAGAATAATGTATTACTTGTGATCATATGTGATTTTTCCTGGGTAAAATTTTAAATTATTTTTGGAAAATACATAAGTGGTGTTTGTTAGGTAATTTTTTTCTTTTGTAGAATTTTTGTCTTAGAGAATAAGGATTCTCTAAGAATAAGAGAAAAGGATAAGAGAAAAAAGTCAGGTGTAGATTAGAAGAATGGTTATGTGATTGGTAGGGTTTTAGTTAGAGAGTGGTAGGGGAGGAAGGGAGGGAGAAGGGAACTGGGATTGTAATATAATTCAATGTTGTTTGCAATTCAAATAAAAAAGCAAATAAAAAATAAAAACGATAACATTATACAACTAAAAAAAGACAGAAATAGGAAGAAAACATCAGGAAATATTTAGAAGGAACATTATAGAAGACAATCAAGACGAGGGGGAGGAAAACAACTCTGGATAGAAGAATATAATGGAAAAAGACCGAGCAGCAGAAAGAAAATAATAAAATGAATAATTAATTTGGACCCCTCAGATAAAGTTTCTGCATGTCTCTGCATCTGTTCAATAGTTCACTGACTCCATGCCTCCTCTCTGGTTTCTCTAAACTGCTAAGGGTTGGTCCTTGAGCATATGAAAAATCTAAATCAGAGATAACAGTATAGTTTGTGGTAAGATACAAAAATTACTAGAAGAATTATATTTAAGATGAACTAAACCATTTAAAATAAGTATATGAAATTAGTTTTTCCTTAAAATAAAATAGCTTCTATTTATGCTTTGAAAAAATTAAACATAGTAATATGGTACATCTGCAAGGCTGGAGAAGCATAATTATAATATTTTTAAAATTTTAAAATTAAAAAAAAAATACCCATAATAGACACAAACCAGTATATAGGTATACAAATATAATTTAAATAAAAAAAATCATTTTGTGCTAATGATGCTCCCTCAAGAGCCAAAGGCTCCAACAACAGAATTAGAAATCCTGTTTTGAGTCATTGTTCATGGTTATTTGGTTATTTCTATAGTTGTGACACAGTTTTATTATTGTCCTTCGTTGTGCCCAGAAGTGGAAAGTAAGTTCCTATTGCAGAAATATCCTGCACTACAGATAATGGTCCTGGAAGTCCCTTTTCAGGAACTGATCTAAAATACTCCTGTCTGAGTACTTGCTTTCAAATTACAGGAAGATTCCAAAACTTCAAAAGCAGGTACACAGTCAACAGTTCTACCTAGGTATGATGCCTGTGAACCATAACAACTACCACATGGTACAATAACCCTATGCATACAGCAGTGACTTAAAATTTGCTGTAACCAATAGCTTTCGAATTGTGCTTAAGATACAAACTGTGCAAGTTATTGGAAACTAGTCAGGGTTAATGGATAATGAGTCTTGGAGAGAATGTACTAAACCAGTATAATCATTAATTACACGATAAATAATTGTTTTTATAACCACAGATAAAAGCATTTCACCTCCCACATGAAGAAAACTTACTTTTTCAGCAAATGGAAAATATTACAAAAAACCCAATCAATCAAAACACAAAGTGGAGAGCCTAGTTCTCAGTGTATACATATTGGTACTATAATATAACATCCAATTTCTAATTGCTCTTAGGGAACATTGCTCAAGAAGGGAAGAGTATGGTGACATTATAAGAGCAAGAGGAACAGTGAGTTGACCATAAGGTATGTTTCCTAGGAATGTGATAAGCTATACACATCTGGTCTTACCAACATAACTGTCCAAACTCAAGCTAAAGAAAGACAACAATAATAGATATTGACTACTGAACAGGTGTTATCAAGGAGCCTAAGCTACTAAAAGAATCATTGAAAAATGAGAATTGCTAAGAGTGGAGAAACAGTCTTCACACAGAAGAACACAACTATTTGTTATCCAATACCAAGTGATCAGTACTGAAAACATAGGAGTAATGTTATACAGATTGAGTAGATTATACTTCTGTTTTTTAATAATATGTACATTTATGTAAATATATGTGAATATATGCATGCACACACACACACACATATATATATATATATATATAGAGAGAGAGAGAGACAGAGAGAGAGAGACAGAGAGAGAGAGACACACAGAGAGAGAGAGATGTATATAACACCAATTAAAGAAAATACTAGAACATGAATTTAAAAAACAAGGAGATATATGTGGAAGTTTTTGAATGGAAGATTTTATAGTCTGAAAATTAATTTTTTTAAATTAATTTAAATTTAAATTTAAATTTAAGAACATTTGCATGAAGAATACAGCTGTAGGAGTGAGAAAGATTTCCTAATATTTCCTAATTTTAATTTAAATTTAAATTACTAAATTTTAAATTTAGTAGTCATCTAGTGTGGTGTCACATATGTTGAAGAAACTTACTCACACTTCATAATACATTTATAGGAAGAAAGTATAAAAGGTTTCTATATGCTATTTTTATTTTCTAATAGTGAAATTTATTATTAAAATAATTCCTAATATGCATTATTATCCAACACTTGGGATGTGCAAGAGTAGGGCAGGGTTCCATATTCAATTTATGCATTAGGACAGTTCCTTCAGAGAATATCTGTATAGTCTATGACTCAAAAGTAAGAAGGATAAGACAGATAGAAATGAGCACGACAGGAGCATGAAGAATTAAGGACCTCCTAAGAACTCTGCATGGTACAGCTATGAAGATTGCAACATTTGACTGCACATCAGAGCAACCAGCTGATGTCTGTGTTATTGACCAGCACTGGAATGACTGCTTCTTGGAATATCATGGCCCAGCATTTGAAAGGTTTAGGAAGGAAGTTCACAGGTTTGAAAACAGCCTTTACTGTATGCATGTGCTCCAGACCAACTTGAGCTTAACAGGAAGGTCTTACAGGAAAATTGAATCCATTAACATCATATTCCAAATTATTATTGCTTTAAAAGTTTACAATAATTAAACTGATGTTTTCCTTATTCCAAAGCTATTTCTGAGTCCATATATTCTTACATAATTTGTTAGCTTTGATTATATTTTATAATAAGTAATACAAATATTATAACCTGATTTTATCACCATATAATGATGAGGCGTTAAGAAATATATCATAAATTTTGTCAAATTTATTCTACAAACTTTCTAAATATATGGGAAAAGAAACACTACTTAAAAATTCAAGCCAAAGATAAACTTGAAATAGTCTCTATCAAACTTAAGTTTCCTTAATAATATCTACCCTAGGCTCCTGTTCTCACTTCCTGTCTGGTCCACCTCATTTTAACTACAAAATTTGTCTTTTCAGAAATGATTTGGTGGTGGTGGTGGTGGTGGTGGTGGTGGTGATGGTGGTGTGTTTGTGTGTGTGTGTGTGTGTGTGTGTGTGTGTGTGTGTGTTTATATCATACAATCTTTTACAAAAATTGTTTAAAGTACTGATATTTTTACATACTTTCTGGTGTGTGGAATTCTTTTTCAAGTAGCACCCAGGATGAACAGATATTTGTGTTCATCTACTTTTTCTGAGTGCCATTCCATAATGTGAAATTGGTTGTAGCACTCCTACACCAGTGATTCCAAACATTCACAACATAAACTATCTGCATTTCACTCATTAACCTTCCATCTGTGAGCTTTGCACATCTACTCAAAAAGAAAAGTTCATCATCCTAGCATATCCATAGATGACACTGTAAATGCCTTGTAATTGACTTGTAATCTCCTTTCCTAAAACAGGTTCCAACTGATCAAACTGCTTGCCCAGTTCTCCTGGGTAGTTAATACTGCTATCCCATCTCCCCCATGAGTTTCTATCCTATTTTCCAAATTACAGGGGCACGATACCTATGATTCATCCTTTTCTCATCTTCTTTTTCCTCTCCGCAGTCTTTTAGATAGATAAATAAAAATTGGAATTTTATCTATTACTCAGTAAAACTGCTTCTTTACAGTACCAAGGAGATTTAACTGCAAACTATTTTATAATCCTTGTCATTTCCAGAGAATTATATTCACTCTTAAGAGTAGAGATGATAATACTATTCATTGTTGTATTAATATAAAATTTATTAAAACTTTTGTCTAAAATATTTCATTTACTAAATGTCTTTCTATGGTTATCTTGAGGCAAACTGATGTTTGTACAAGATTACTGCAGGTCAAACATTCCCAAAAGCATATTTCTTAAAGTTCAAATTTCACTCTTTCTTACAATTGGTATGCTTTCTGGATCATCTGAAAGTTTGAAAACTGTCAACTTTATTACTAATATGATACTTTATTACTAATATGATACTTTAGGTATCATATCATTTTCATTGCAGTGACAAGCCTCTAAAACCATTTGGCTTTGATCAATGAAAGATAGTGAAAATAATGCAAATTCATTTGGGAATCATTTTAACTCATAACTACATAAAGATGCAAGCAGCAGATGCAGGTGAGTTACCTATCAAAAGAAAATTGCCAACATACAGAATAGGTTTTTCAATGTAGTACATCCATGACTTTTGCATTCTTACAAGCTCAGATGCATACTGAAAGAGTGATATTTTAGAATTGTAGACAGCTATGGAAGAGACAGAGAACAGGAAGATAAAGCAAACAAAATAATCTCAAACAATATGTTCAGTAAAACCCTCTGGTTTTATACGTGAAATTAGCTGAGGTAAGCAGACTGCTAGGAAAAAGGTACACACAGCTAAGGGCATCAATAATATGCTTCAAAAGTAGATTAGGATCTTTCTGGCAGGATTCTGAAATATACTATTTGCTTTGTTTTTACATTTGTTGGCATAGTATATAAGTTTATGAGGGTGAGTAAAGTTTCACTATGCCTTTGAAAAGGAAGGGTCTTTCCATGAAAGCTGGTCCTCTGGTCTTCGGCTTTTGTGAAGCAGAATTTCTGGAAGCCATTTGTCTCTGCCAAGATTGATTCACTGAGTTAAACTGCAGTACTGAAGAGCTATTGGAATATTGCAGGTATAATGACTAATAACATTATCTTACTGACTGCTAGACTTCCAAAACAGCTATTCCTTGGAAGTTCTGAGGCTGAACATTTTGTCACTCATAGAGAAATATTTTTAGGGCCTTTTAGCAAAACAGTAGCCTTCACCAACACAAGAGCTAAAAAACGTATTAGGTAGCACCTTGACTTTGTATAAACAATCCTCCTCCATCTTGCTGTAACAATCTCTATTATGTGCTCCCTCTCCCAAGTTAAATTGTAATTTAAATATGACTTTGTTTATGTCATTCTTTTTTCTGTATAAAACAAACCTTCATTAAACTGTCTATATGTTGGAACATGGATTTTGGGATAACTCTTAATTATCCCAAATAAGATACTAGCACAATAAGACTACTAGCACAATTTAAAACCAACTGTGAAGCAAGCTTTAATTAAATACTGGCCAGGTGGATAAGCTTTGTCTAGATCCATACCCAGCTTTCTCGGAAATGACCCCAAGTCTTAGTTTGCAGCAGCTTAATAAGAAAAAGCCATAATTCATTGCAATTTTAATCAGGTCCTATCATGAGCAAGCATACAACCTGATGCACCTCCCACCTACATCCAATCAGGGGCAAATATATATCCTAATACATTTCCTTTCTATGGCCCTCCCACCCTCATGTGATCAAGCACATCAGTGCCAATGGGTCAAACACACTTGTTTAGGGGAGTAAAATCGTGGTTGCTATCTCTCATAAATGATAGCCTCTGGCATTTCAGCAATATGTGTCCTTGAACAAGGGACTTGCAAATCAAAGACATTTTTGTTTCATGGATCTCTTAGGCATAGTAATTAAAACTTAAAATGTAATGTTGTCTCTCACAAACATAAATCTGTTTTCCTGGGCCATGATCACTTAAACTGGCTCTAGAGTAAGCTTACCTTTATTCTCTTTAAGATGAGAGCTGAAGTATTTGTTTCAACACACTTCATTTCTCTCTTTGGTATATTTGAAAATTTTAATTCTACTTATTTACTGCTGGCCTCAAAAGTACTTTTTATGAGAAGCTTTAAAAGTTGCCTAAAGTAAAAAAGCAGTCCATTTGATTGATTTTACTTTTTGACAGATCAACTAGATTGTCTAATGACAAGTATGTGTGTATTTTCTAATTTGCTTTTTTATTTTCATACTTATAGAAAATAAGCTCCATTTTTCTCTCCATTGGACTGTGTAGACATTCATACACTCTAAGCATACACACCAGTAAATTTGTTGTATTAGGTACTAGAATCCATTCTATATTGGAGGTCACTGTTGGATTTTAAAAAAGTTATGGCATATTTGTTTCTATGATTTTCATGGGTGAGTTAAACACATAATGCTCTACTGTGCACATATAAAGGGTCTCGTAGTGGGAATCTTATCAAAACTGGAAGTTAAAAATACCCCTCTTCAATATATTGTGCTTTTAAGTCTTTAATTCCACTTTGTATCTTTCAATTTTCATCTTAATTTTATAAATTTATAAAGAACAATATTTCCCTTCAATGAAGCAAATTTATAACACAAATAATATTTGCGTTGTTAGTTTTATATTATGAGAGGTTTCAAGTTTAATAATATCTGTACATATTAAATAGCTGTAAGGAGAGAGTTACCATTTTCCTAACATATTCAAAACTTTTCATTCAACTCTGACGTTGTGAATATTGCTTTCTCTTTTATTCTCCCCCACTTCATTCTTTTGTGCCAGCAACATTTCTACATCTAAAGCCTAATAGACACTTCATTTTTCTTTGTAGTCTTTGTTAAATTACCTTTATAATGGAAAATACCTTTCTTTGCATCTTGTATTTCCCTTATCTGAAGAGAGGGCTGCCTATAGGCAGTCTCTTTGAAATCTAGGAGGTTGCAGTAACCTTGTTTTTGCTTAGATTATCAGCACTTTGCCACTTCCCTGCCCTGAATTCTTAAACACTAATGAAAGAAAAAGGATCCAAACAATGACTTTTCTTTTGGTTGGTGTGGTGGGCAGCAATTTCTTTGCTTAGGAAAATAACATCTCTCACTCTCATTTCAATATTATGGAATGCCATATGTTTTAGCTGTTCTTCCTAGTAGCTGTAAAATGTAAAGCATAATAGATTAAATTAGAAAAAAAAAGCTTGATTAAAACTAAATTTCCAAATGATTAATGCTAATGAATTCTGTCTTCTGAGGTTGATTTTTAGTTTGTGTATTGTCTTTAGTATTTGAATCCTCGGTGCTGAAACCTTAAAAATATTTTCCCCTACTCAATAAGACATAAGCAACAAAATTCATTAAAATACAGAAAGAATTCCATTGAAGAATACCCCAATATTGTAAATGCCAAAACACAGAACACTGGCTTGAAGCACCTAACACATAAGATGCCAGTTTTTCAGTTGACCCAATGACATTGGCAATTTCGTTACAGAGGTTTGGTGAGCAAATGTTCCAGTGATAATGTTGAAATGTGAAATAAGAAGTTATGTTAATACCCATGTCCATTCACTGCAGAATAAAAGCAAATAAATAGTTTTTATGTTGGATAATAAATATTATTTCAAGAGATAAAAATAGGCAGGGATTTTTTAAAAAAATGTTGAGTTGATGTATGGAAGAACTCATTTTCCAATGTTAATCCCACCTATTGAGAAATAGACCACTACCACATTTTAAAGCTCAATTTGAAGCAAGCTTTAATTAAATAATGGACAGGTGGACTGTCACTGGTTAGATACATACCAGGGTTCCTGGGAGATGGCCCAGAATCACAGTTTGTAATGGCTTAAGGAGGAAAACCCTTCATTTATTTCATATCTTCACATTTCCAATCAGGGGAAAATATACATCCTATGTACTTGTGAACCTCCAGTCCACATGTGATTAAGCACATCCATTGCAGGTGGGTCAAACAAACTTGTATAGGGGAATGAAAACATGTGACTTATTATCACCCTGATAGATTATAAGGTGACATATATGGGTCAGTGAGAAGGCAAAGTACCTGTTGTCATATCTAATGATGTGAGTGTCATTCCTGACATCCATAATACGGAAGGGAACTGGAATATTTGATCACCATGTTATGGAATGATAGACTTGATACCATAAAAGGTCACAGTAAAAAACACTTTCAGATCGACCATGAATTCCATCTTTCTAATTACTTCTTCTGTTGTTCATAAGCATATAAGCATTCAGGAACACACACACACACACACACACACACACACACACACACACACACACACACACACACAAAGGAAGCAATGTGAGTAGTGTCAAGTTTCTCTTTCCATTAATTATTATGTATTTCTACTTTAATTCAGACTCTTAAGAAGGAAAAATGTAACACGGAAAGGAGGAAACAGGCAAGTACATACAGAGAAGTAGCCTAGCTATACTGAGAACAGTATCATCACTTCAAACAAGTGGAGGAAGTTGTTTCGTTGTTGATGTTATTTTTAGTCTTCACTCTCTGATCCAGAATTTTAAGGAGTCATTACCCTAAATGATATAGAGGAGATAGTGACATCAACAGTTGTCATTAGTAGTGCTTTGAAGTTTGTGTACTATATTATATTAGAGTTTCACTTGTTTCCTTCCCCAGCCCCCTTTGGTTTTTCCACACATGTCTTCTCTGTGTAGCTTTGGAGACCTCCAACTCATAGTGATCCACCTGCTACAGCCTCCTGAGTGCTTGCTACTGCCTCCTGAGTGCTGGGATTAAAGGCGTGCTCCACCAACGGCCGGCTGATTCAAGTATTTTCATAAAGAAATAGCAATAGCAATTCTGGATTATTATTTAGATCCTCTATAATAAGTATTCTTAAACTGGTCAGTTTTATTTGGAACTGCACGGCTGCACATATCTTCATAGAAATGTGATATTGTAGTTGTAGAATTTCAGAATTTTTTTTCTTGATACTCATTTTGAATTGTTTGAGAATAGTGGGTGGAGAGTTCCTGCAGCTTTCTTCCTGTTCTGAGTACCGAGGCTCTGGCTGCTGGTTTCTAGCCGTTTTCCTTGTGCTATGGCTGGGAAACCGCAATCTGAGCTCCAGCCTCAGTCCAAGAAATACAAGTCAGTTCCATAGGAAGCTGGAGGTTGAAAAAGAACAGCAAGAAGCAATTGAACATATTGATGAAGTAGAAAATGAAATAGACCGACTTAATGAACAAGCCAGTAAGGAAATTTTGAACGTAGAACAAAAATCTAACAAACTCCGTCAGCAATTTTTTCAGAGGAGGTCAGAATTGATATCCAAAATCCCAAGTTTTTGGGTAACATTTGTCAACCATCCACAAGTGTCTGCACTGCTTGGGAAGGAGGATGGAGAGGCTCTGCACTACTTGACCAGAGTTGAAGTGACAGAATTTGAAGACTTTAAATCAGGTTATGGAATAGATTTTTACTTTGATGAATTCCTTACTTTGAAAATAAATTTCTCTCCAAAGAATTTCATCTGAATGAGAGTGGTGACCTGTACAGAGGGGTTGCAGGTTAAGATATATTTATTCAAATAATACCAGCCAAGCAAAAGCCAGAGAGTGCCCAGAGGCAGCAAGCTAGGGAGTCCAGAGAGAGAGCTCCCACGTGTCTGTTGCACCTTAAAAACTCCCCACCAGTCATCATGAACCTCCCCTGACCACACCCTGACAGGCTCTGTTAAGCACACCTGTAGCCAGCCCTTAGGAAGCATAGTTATCGTGTCTCCCTGCAATTTTCCTTTTAGTCTAAAAGAGGATTAAAATGTAATAGTGTAAAACATCCAAAATTAGCAATCATAAAGATGAAATACAAGAAAATACAATAATCTGTTATTGCACATCCTAACTATGTCTATTCCAGCTAAGCCCTAAAGTCATCTGAAAGGGGTGTCCAACCTGAACAACTTCTTCCAATCCCAACCATAAACAATAGGAAAGTTATTCCTAACTAGGCCTACACCACCCTAATAGACAATAATGGGAACCGGGTGTAGCATCTTCCATGTAACTAACTGCTGAAATGGGATAAGGGTAGCCTTGTGGGGTCCTGTAGCAAGAAAATGTTAGTATAGTGAAAGTCTGTAATGGGTTACCTCCAGTTCATGTTAGATGGGATTTGCTTGATTGAAGATCTAGGTTGACATCCTCAACTTGATTGAAGCCAGTACTCGAAGCTCTGGTGGGAGTGTCAGTTGAAACAGGGTAAGTTGGATCCAGTGCAGTCCAGGAGGTATGGCCCAATTCCTTTTCCCAGAGCATCCAGGAATTGTTGTCAGGCAGGTCTTTATTGGCTGTGTGGGACTCAAACATAAGCGTTAACAGAGACTTGTTTGCTTGCATATGTATGTATGCTGGGAAAGGCAACCATGGGAAAACAACAATTATGAGAGGGTGTACACCTTGAAAGAAAGAGCCAAGAAAAAACAAAAGATAGTCCTCAAATTCTTCATTTTGTGTTATATCAATTGGCTTTTTGATATAATACAGAAACTCTAAAGTTTAGTTAAACATGGTTGGATTTTAAGGGAGGAAAGCCAAATCCAACACTAAATCTAGTGTTGACTTAGTTGAATAGGGACTAGGAAATGAAGAGAAATAGAGTTATTTGAAAGACAGCTGTACAGTTTACCATATGGACACGTTCCTTTTGTTTGATGGTTATAGCTACCTTCTTTTCTTAAGTATTTGCTCATGTAGTGTTCTTGGACTTCTGGAGATGAGTTTTCCTGTGAAGATAAAAACAAAGCACTTCCCTTTCCTTTGGGAAGCTTTTATTTAGTTTATGAGATATACCTCAGTAAATACCTGTCAATCATCCTTGTTGAGAGGGTTGTCTTTTTCAACTCGAATCTTGATCAATTTGGATGGTATCCAAAGTATTTCTTCTCATGTGGAAACAAATGCAAAACCCCTACCCCAATGTAACACTTGTCCAGGCTTCTATACCGAGGTCAGTACATCTTTGAAGTACCCTGGTTGATTCAGTTCAGTAGGTTTTTCCATAGTCCAGTGTCTTTCTGCAGCTATTTGACTTTTGTCATTGGCATTAAGAAAGTTTAGTATCAATAAAGCATTAAACAATCTATGTTGGACGGGTTCACTTACCAGCTTGGCTATGGAGCATCTCCTTAAGCATTCTATTAGATCTGTCAGCAACTATTTGTCCTGTAGGATTGTGTGTATACATGTGACATGCTTTATGTTATAACATTTGAAGAACTGTTCCATTTTTATGGAGATATATGCTGGAGCATTGTCAGTTTGTAGGGAATGAGACCCTTAATCTCAGGGTCCTGGGTTCATGCCCCACGTTGGGTGCCATGTGTACTCAGAGGGTTCATATTAAGATATCTTTATCCAAATAATACAGGCCAAGCACAAGCCAGAGCGTGCCCAGAGGTAGCAAGCTAGGGAGGCCAGAGAGAGAGCTCCCACATGTCCCCACAAGTCATCCTGAACCTTCCCTGACCACGCCCTGACAGGCTTTGTTAAGCACACCTGTAGCCAGCCCTTAGGAAGCATGGTTACTGTGTCTCCCTACAGTGACCCATCATCAAAGTCCTCGGAGATCAAATGGAAATCTGGAAAGGATTTGTCAAAACGCTTAAGTCAAACTCAGAATAAGGCCAGCAGGAAGAGGCGGCACAAAGAGCCACAGAGCTTCTTTACCTGGTTTACTGACCATTCTGATGCAGGTGAAGATGAGTTAGGAGAGGTTATCAAAGATGACATTTGGTCAAAACCCTTGCAGTACTATTTTGTTCCTGATATGGATGATGAAGAAGGAGAGGCAGAAGATGATGATGAAGATGATGATGATGATAATAAGGAGGAGGAGGAGGAGGAGGAGGAGGAGGAAGGCTTGGAAGATATTGTCAAAGAAGGGGATGAAGATGAATGTGAAGAAGATGAAGATGATGACTAAGGGGAAGAAGGAGAGGAAGATGAAGGTGAGGATGACTAGCACAGAAGACTGGTGGATTCCAACCATCTTATTTATTTTCTTTTATTTTCAATTTTCTCCAGTCCCTGCGAGCAAGTTGCAGTCATTTCCCTCCCCTCCCCAATCCCTCTTGTGCTCAATAGCCCAGTTTTTGAGGTCTCTTCTCAACACCATGGTTCTCAACTTATTTAGGGGGAAATACTTGAGCAAAATACAACGAGAAGAGAATCTCCACTCTTCTGTTCTAAATTCATTTTTATCCTCATCTCCTTTCTTTACACTGGTATAATCGAGGGGAAGAAATAGATTAAGATGATATTAGAAAAAATATTTAATGTTTATTCCTAAATTTCTGTGTGTAAATTTTTTGTTACACTAAATTATTAACATTCAAATAGATTTATAACTACATGAGAAGAAAAGCAGAAGTATCATAAAGCAAATGGGTAAGAAGAAAAAATTATTGAGTTCACAAAAACGTTGTGCCAATTATTAGGACTGTCAGGTTTCTGAGAGAAGGCAAAGCATTTTCAATATGAAAATGAATATTAAATTGGCAAACTAGAAAGGAGCGGGGAGAAAAAGGGAGAATTTAGCACTTGTCAACAAGGAAAAGGTCATAGTATTTTGGTTGCTATAAAAATTCTAAAAAGATCTAGTGTGGAAGTTGCCTTACTATAATGGTTAAGCCATGATCCTTTTCAGTGGACAGTTAAATCTTTTTGTTTACATTTTAGAAATACAGTAAATACTAGGAACTGTGAAATCAGCTGCTGCTAGTTCTGTAGCACATTGAAAAATGACTATAAAAGTAGTCTCTAATGTAAAATTGTAGACTGACAAAGCTTTTATATTGTTTTTTTCTATCTCCCGCCACTGCTGTCTCTTTCATCCTCACTGTCTTCATCTATCCTTTACTCTTTTATTTCCCCTTCCTTCCTCTTACTCTTTAATATTTGTAACAAGGTCATGTGTCTCAGACTGGATGGAATTTGCTCCATATTCAACCTGATCCTTCTGTTGCTCCCTCCTAAATTTGGAGATAATCAGCATATTCACCCATGCATTGTTTAAGATCATCTAAAGACATTTACAACCTAAATAATTTGACAGTATTGGAGGCCAGCAGAGTCAAACTCTACTGATTCCCTACCAACGTCAAAGTCAGTTGCCTCATCTTCAGCATAAGTATTTAGAAAATTTCTTATCTACAAGGTAACAGCATGATTTAACACCTGTGCAGTTCCAGTCATGTCTCTTTATTGTTCTGTCTCTATCCTCATTTTCCTGTCTTGCTTCTAACTCATCCTGGCTGCTTCTTCTAGCTTCGTTTTTTATATTCTAAATCTCTTTCCCCCCTCAGGATCCTTGAAGTGCTAAAGAAAATACAAGACTTGTTTCTCATTGGTCAAGAGCAAATTCCTAGGATCAGTGATAGGTAGTTGACACATTGTCATGACAACACAAGGGTTCAAGGTTACAGAAATGAGATCATGACTCAAGGGCAGGGGGGAGAAGGAGATAAGCTTTGATACATAGGTCTTTTGCTAACACACAGGAAAGCAAAGAATTGGCATGGTTTTCCTTAGTCACCTTGAGTGGATATCTATGGCTCTGAACTTGTACATAGCTATAAGGTTTCAAACTTAAGATCAATTTACACAAAGCCTTTATTCAAGTTTGAACTTGCTCTGAGGTAAAAGTGAGCTAATTGTGTACAGTTTGTGTTTGACTGAGTAATAATTGCTATTTTCTGATATGAGTCTGAATAAAAAGAAATAAAGCAGGCTTTTAAGTGTATACAGTCTTCATGGAACAAACAAATCCATTTATGAAGCATGCCCCAGTATATATGCTATACATTAAAACTATATAGGAGAATGAAAAATCATCTTCGTGATCATCCACACATATATGTGCCCATAAGTTTGAGATGCAATCATGAGATTACAAATACACTTCACATGAGATTACATACTACACTGCAGGTATTGGTGAGGAACTAATGAGTTTTAGCAAAAGTGAGAAACAGTTTCCGGAGTCAATGATCCTACAGACATCGTGTGGACAAGATTAACCACCATTAGATAATCATTTCTCTGGTGGGTTGACACTTGAACACTAGTTGTCACCTGTTACTGCTATAACTTTCATGGACCCGGACATGATAATACCTCCAAAGTATTGAATAAAAATGGACAAGAGACCTCTCACAGGGCTCCAAGTCTAAATGATGACTGCAGTAATATAAAGGTTGCTGAGAGTGAGTTGTTTTACCCAGGGATGAATGCCCTAATTGATTGTTCAATAACAAATGATCATTCCTCAACCTGTGTCTGTGCATGTGCGTGTGAGTGTGGGTAAAAAGTTAATTAAAGAAAATAAGGCTATGAATTTTAGAAACCATGAGGGGGACACTGGAGAATATTGAAAAGAGTAGCAGAGGGTGGCTTTGTGTAAATACATTTCACACATATAAATAAAAAATAAATTTAATTTAAAAATGTGGCTAAGGCAGTTTCCATGAGAGTGAGACATGTACCTTGTTTCATAAGCTATGTATCTGGAAAGGAATAGTTAAGCTAGTCAATAGTTTTGTAATTTCTCTCATAAATTTTATGATTTGGATAGGCTTGGGTTCATAAATTTTACAAAATATTAATTGATGTTAATATGTAAGAAAGATTTCTACTCTGAAGTTTTTTTATTTTTATAAGTGAAGGAACATGAACCTTTGTGTTTGTTTTCTAAACAAGGAGAGAAAGAAAGATAGAAGTTTGGTAGGTGTGGTGATGCAAAGGGTCTGGGAGGATATGGGGAAGGGTAAATTTTGATTGAAATTTATTGTATGAAAAGTTCCAATAAAAAAGTTATCAAACAATGGAAATCCAAAGAAGTTCCAGTAGTTTGATAGTTATACAGAGAATAGTAACACATACAATATTAAAATAAGACTTTTTCTCTAAGTTTAATATATTGGTGAGTAGTGGTTTGAATAAGGCTAGCTACCACAGGCTCATATGTTAGAAATTTCAGGAAGTGGCACTACTTGGGAGGGATTCGATAGTAAGGCCTTGTTAGAGGCAGTTTGTCACTAGAGTTGGCTTTGAGTTTTCCAGTGCTCAAACCAGGGCCATTCTCTCTCCCTTCCTCCTGCCAGCAGATCCTGATGTAGAACTCTTAGCTACCTCCCTTGCACCTTATCTGCCTAAATGTTCCCTGCCTTGCTGATAATGGACTAACCATCTGAAATTGTAAGCAAGCCTCAATTAAAGTTTTTCTTTTTATTAAGATTGCCTTGGCCTTGGTGTCTCTTCACAGCAATGGAACACCTACTAAGACAGTATATTGTTATAAATAATTTCATTAAGAAGTAAAAATCAATTTTCATAGCAGATTGATGGTTTATTACAATGAAAATTAAAATACATTTAAAAAATCCACCCAAAGTATAAAACTAGGGACCAGCAAGATGACTCAGCTGACCATGTAGTTGCCCCTAAGCCTAAGGCCTTGATCTTGGTTCCAAGAACTTTCACGCTAAAAGAAGGAACCAAGAAATTCTGCATATTGTTCTCAAAACTTCACATGTGCCATGTCATGAATGTATGCATCCCCAATAATTTAATTGTTCTTTTTATGTTTTGCGAATCAACATTTTTGATTCTTTGTGAAAACATCTACAGAAACCAGAAATGGACCTCAGATCTTCTTGAGTTAGAATTCCCAATGGTCTGGAGGCAGCCATCTTGGTGCTGGGAACGTAGCTGGGGCCCTGTGGAAGAACAACCAGTACACTTAAGCACTGAGAAATCTCTGCGGGCCAAAATAAGTATTTTGGAATGGATAATAACTTATAGACATATATGAAAAAATTGCTAATTTGGTAAAGCAATTCTTCCTTCAAAAGAAACCTGTAATGTTATTTACACATCTTAAATAAGAGTGCATAGTTCTGCTGTTACTTAAAATGTTAAATTCATTCTCTTCAGTGGCACCATAATGAGCAGTTTCTTTTTCATATTTCCCAACACTATGGAGGATCTACTTTAATGTTGTATTTTCCTCATTGTTATTCACTTGTTTTGTGTTCATGTTTTTGCACATGTTGGGTGTACATGTGTTTTGGTGCATTTGTGGAGAAGAGAAGACAACTTACAAAGATTGTTTTTTTTTTTCCTTCTGCCACTTGGGTTTCAACAATCAAACTTACTTCCACATGCTTGTCTTCTGGCAGCTTTTCTTGCTGAGCCCTCTGGGTGGCCCCTCTTTTGGGGTGTTGGATTTTGGTTGATATTCCTCTTTAAATTAACGTCATTTAGCACAAGAAAAAATAACTTTTACAGAAAACTGTTGTTTTTGTCTTTTTTAAACTGAATTTGATTGTCATGATTGATTATTTCTATATCGTGTATTATATATAGTATGAAATATACATATAGTAATTATATATATTATAAAATATGTTTGTAATGAGGAAAATTCAAGAGGAGTTAATTTGATTATGCAAAATCTGTCACTGAAATGTAAAAATAACCACACGTATATGTTCCTGTTAAAGAAATATATCTCACTCATTTCCAAGCAAGATTTTCAGGTTTTTTTTTTTTTTTGATGATTACAATTTTGGGTTGTATATTATTGATTGGAGCAAGTAGATTTTTTCCATTTTAGATGCCTTAATGACTACTGTATGGATTTTAAAATAAGAAATAATGTGTTCAATTATCAAACTTTTGAATATTCAGTTTGTATTCTAAGCAAGAATTCAAGGATGTTGTTTCTATTTTAAAGAAAATTTGAGATAACTTCTGCCAAGACAACTAATCTTTCCACTGGAAACAAATGAGCATCTGGAATTTTAATGAGTATATATTACATAATGCTAGCCTATGAATTAATCTTAGTTCTTGAAAATACACGATCTGACAGTCTGGGCAGTGGAGGAGAGGATGGTCTAGAAACCCTTCCCCTAGAATGAGATTGATGAATACTCTCTATGCTATCCTAGAGTCCTCATCCAGTGGCTGATGAGAGCAGAGACAGACATCCATAGAAATACACTGAGCTGAAATCTGGAACTCAGTTGAAGAGAGGGAGGAATGAAGAACGAAGGGGTCTGTACCTGGTTGGAGAAACCCACAGAAACAGTTGGCCTGAAAAAGGGAAAGCATATCGACCCCAGATGCTCTTTGGGAGGACAGTACAGGACTAATCCAGCCCCCTGATCATGGATGCCAATGGGGAGGCCC